ATCTGAGTCTTTAAGTAAACAGAGATTGTACCCAGACTTGTTAGAATTCCACCTTCAAGTTTGTTAGATAATGTGTCATAGCAGAGGTTAATGGGGTTATTAGTAAATTAGGTATTCCATCTTTGAACCAGGGGCATTGGGGTACCCTAGTGGTCAAAGCGTTCGTTCCTCTTGCCAAGACCGGGGCTCGGTGTAAACACTCACTCAACCACTCACTCACTCACTGGTCCAGATTCAATAACAACAGACCAGTCTTACAGCTGGAATATAGCTCAGTTCGATGGTTATCACTCACTCACTCAACCACTCACTCACTGGTCCAGATTCAATAACAACAGACCAGTCTTACGGCTGGAATATAGCTCAGTTCGATGGTTATCACTCACTCACTCAACCACTCACTCACTGGTCCAGATTCAATAACAACAGACCAGTCTTACAGCTGGAATATAGCTCAGTTCGATGGTTATCACTCACTCACTCAACCACTCACTCACTCACTGGTCCAGATTCAATAACAACAGACCAGTCTTACAGCTGGAATATAGCTCAGTTCGATGGTTATCACTCACTCACTCAACCACTCACTCACTCACTGGTCCAGATTCAATAACAACAGACCAGTCTTACAGCTGGAATATAGCTTAGTTCGATGGTTATCACTCACTCACTCAACCACTCACTCACTCACTGGTCCAGATTCAATAACAACAGACCAGTCTTACAGCTGGAATATAGCTCAGTTCGATGGTTATCACTCACTCACTCAACCACTCACTTACTCACTGGTCCAGATTCAATAACAACAGACCAGTCTTACAGCTGGAATATAGCTCAGTTCGATGGTTATCACTCACTCACTCAACCACTCACTCACTCACTGGTCCAGATTCAATAACAACAGACCAGTCTTACAGCTGGAATATAGCTCAGTTCGATGGTTATCACTCACTCACTCAACCACTCACTCACTCACTGGTCCAGATTCAATAACAACAGACCAGTCTTACAGCTGGAATATAGCTTAGTTCGATGGTTATCACTCACTCACTCAACCACTCACTCACTCACTGGTCCAGATTCAATAACAACAGACCAGTCTTACAGCTGGAATATAGCTCAGTTCGATGGTAATCACTCACTCACTCAACCACTCACTCACTGGTCCAGATTCAGTAACAACAGACCAGTCTTACAGCTGGAATATAGCTCAGTTCGATGGTTATCACTCACTCACTCACTCACCCACTGAACCAAACTGTTTTATAATAACGTGTATTCTCGGTAGGAACCAGACTTGCGGGTTTAAACAAACTTTGTCCTTTGTAATGTGCAGCTGTTGCATTTCAACATCATAATTCATACGCTGTTACGAAAGTCTTCATTGAGGACGTTATTTATTTAAATGAAATATTTTCATGCTTTACCCATTTCCTGAGGGAGATGGTAATGGTGATCTATAACTAAGACCTGAAACGGGGCCTGGATCAAGCAGAATGAAAAATTGTTTGTATTTTTGGGGACAATTGCAAACATGCAGGTATAATAGGCAATGTAGCTGACTCTGCCCTGCTTTGACTGTTCACCGTTGCACTAACGTAAATAAATATTGAATACATATTGGTTAGGAAAATTCCGGAATTAGAGCGTAACTGATTAGTTTTGGAAAGTGTTTTCAATACAAAACCATGTGATGCATATTTGTCCAGCGATATATTGTTGGAGACAAACAGCATTATGACATATGTAGTAATATTTATTGATCCATTTTTCTAAACGCCACATGAACAGAAACACTGTGGATCAAGGTTGGAATAGGTTCCTAGTGTCTTGTGAGTGAGTGAGTGAGTTTTGCCCACTTTTAGCAATATTCCAACAATAACATAGCCGAGGACATCAGAAATGGGCTTCATTGATTGTACCCTAGACTAACAACTAGTCTCTGAAATGAAACTATTTTACAGAGAAAAAGCTCATAATAAAAAATTAAAAAATATAATGAAAAGGAGCCCTGAGACTTTGAAATCTAGATTTGCCACATTTTCTAGACTTGCGTGGGTTTTCTTGGATATGTTTGCTTCAGGGTCTGTATGACAGACTAATTGTACCCATGTGGGGATCGCACCTGTGTGTTCGCCATGATGAGCAAATGCTTTAACCACTTGGCTACCCCACGGTCCCTCGTTTTGGTGAGCTTGAACAATGTTGCCAGGTTCTGGTTCATACCCCCTTTAACACACACCCCTCCATTGCATGAAGGGCGGTGGGGTAGCCTAGTGGTTAAAGCGTTGGCTCGTCACGCCGAAGACCCGGGTTCGAATCCCCACATGGGTACAATGTGTGAAGCCATTTCTGGTGTCCCCCGCCGTGATGTTGCTGGAATATTGCTAAAAGTGGTATAAAACCAAACTCAGTCAGTCAGTCAGTCCACTGAATGAAACATTGCCTGAGGTGGTGGTGTAGCCTAGTTTTTAAGGCATTTGCTCAACACTCCGAAGGCCATGGTTCAATTACCCACATGGGTACACTATATGAAGCTCATTTCTGGTGTTCAGTGCAGTGAAAAGTGGTGTAAAACCTCGTTCACTCACTCACTCCGTCACAATATGGCTGAAATATTGCCGATGTGACATTAAATTTTCACTTCACTCACACATGGGAGATAATGTTATATGATGTGAGCATTAAACAGTCATTTAATGTTTCCTTTTCTCTGTATCACTGGGTTAGCAGCTTGGACAGTCACACATAAGTATTAGAGAAATAATGTTTCCTTTTCTCTTTATCCATACTGGGTTAGAGCTTGGTTTACGAAACAGTCACTCACACATAAGTATTAGAGAAATAATGTTTCCTTTTCTCTTTATGCATACTGGGTTAGAGCTTGGTTTTACTTAAACAGGTATTGAAATAATCTTTATGCATACTGGGTTAGATACTTAAACAGTCACTCACACATTAGAGAAATAATGTTTCCTTTTCTCTTTATGCATACTGGGTTAGAGCTTGGTTTACGAAACAGTCACTCACACATAAGTATTAGAGAAATAATGTTTCCTTTTCTCTTTATCCATACTGGGTTAGAGCTTGGTTTACGAAACAGTCACTCACACATAAGTATTAGAGAAATAATGTTTCCTTTTCTCTTTATCCATACTGGGTTAGAGCTTGGTTTACGAAACAGTCACCAGCTTCCTGTATACTGTGTGTGTAAATAGTGCAATATTTATCACAGATGATACCAAAATAGCACTCACTCACTCACTCACCCTCATAAGTATTGGCTCGCTTCACTCACTCACTCACTCACTCACCCACATAAGTATTGGAGCAATAACGTTTCCCTTTCTCTTTATCCATACTGGGTTAGAGCTCGGTTTAGGAAACCGTCACGATTCCTGTATACTGTGTGTGTAAATAGTGCAATATTTATCACAGATGATACCAAAATAACATGCCTGATTCCAAAATAGTTTTTATTTATACAGTAATGGAAATAGTGGAACCATATATTCTGAAATGGCGTGATTATTTACCCACAAATAGATTTAATTTTCCTGAAATGTCACAATAAGTTTGCTGGTTCCCAGACATACTGTCTTGCTCTTAACTTCCGTTGTGCTGTATTGTCCATGAAACCTGACTCGGGTTACTGTCATCCTGGATCATTTGCTGAAGAGTTCCAATCACAGGACACTGTATGTTGGACAATTCAGACACTGTCATTTTTGTGACTCTTTTGTGTGGGATATATTTGTTCAGTTGATGAATTTTCAAAATCTGTTTGATAATTGATCAAGATAAATTGGTGCTGAAGCAGTGATACGATCCTGGTCTAACACGGTTGATGGAGCTGTAATGATATACATATGGATAAGATATGTATCTCGAAAGTATGGTCGTGAAAAGTATGTGATACGAGGCATAAAAACGACATTAAAATTGATATCTCATTATGAAGGGCTATTTTCTACAAAGGGGATATTAGAGGCCTAAAAAAGACATTAGGATTAATATCTGTTGTTTTAGAACTCATGTACAAGCTGATAGTTCCTACAATCCTGTCATGTGTCCTTATCCTTGTATAGATATATCACACTTGACAGAATACTCATTACAAAAAGTATTGCAACTCATTAAACTTTATATGAATCATTTACTCATATTCTGTTTATGAGGGGTGGTGGGGTAGCCTAGTGGTTAAAGCGTTTGCACGTCATGCTGAAGGCCCAGGTTCGATTCCCCACATGGGTACAATGTGTGAAGCCCATTTCTGGTGTTCCCTGCTGTGATATTGCTGGAATATTTCTAAAAGCAGCATAAAACTAAATTCACTCACTCACTCAATAACCCTTGTATGCATATAGTACCACTGAGTGTAATTTTGTCTCAGTATTATTCTTTTCTTGTCCGTCTATTTCAAATATGTATCCAGCTATATTGGAACCGTGTACTGGAGCGGCGTTTATATAAGCCACTAGGCTTGTTCGCCTATCCCGGTTTCTGCATTGACGGAATAAAAATATGTTTAAACCATATAGTACCACTTGACAGTATACTCATGACAAAAAGTAACTCAAACTTTCTATGAATCACATCCTTATGTTCTGTTTGAGGCAAAAGGTTAATGAATATTTTGTTCTGTACAAGTTTATCAAAACAAGGAGCATGCAGTATTCCTTTACCATACACATTCAGAGACATTTCTACCCTTTTTGAAAAACAGAACATTAAAATAATGAGTATTAAGCAATATCAATTAAAGTTAAATCAGATTTAATGCTCCCCAAGTTATTCTGATGTAGTGGCTCTTGACCCAATCATAACCTGATTAATAACTAAAATGTCCTGCAACTGGTGTATAAATATAATATATCCTTCCCAGTACATTTTGACACATTTAAACTGAATGTATGCATGTTCTTTGTGGCGTTAATCCCAAATTGATATGAATATTGCTATTAGACATAAGTGTTTTACATTGTCTCCATCTGTTGCAGAGGCCAGTTGAAGTGGGACAGGATGCACTCAACAACAACTACTGGTACTTTGATGGTAAGTTTGGCATTCCTCTACAGTTGTATATACATGGTATATATGTCTATATCACAGGGTCCCGATCCACAATACGTTCGTAACGTTACCAACTGTTGTTACTCTATTTTATCATAGGCTTACGAATGTCGTAGCACCATGACTGTTTTGTGGATCGGGACAAGGTGTAGAATCAGAGGTGCACTTGCTCTGATTGTGGTCCTCGTCATGGTATTTGAAAACAACAACTGATAAGCAGAGATATCATGGTTATATTTTGTATTTTAAGATTAATGGCCGACATGGGATGGTGTTTGAATTAGTTTTTCGTTTTAAGGTTTGTGAAATTGATATTCATGTGGATGAATAACTATTGTAAATTGATATTAATTTGAGAGTGAATTAGTTAAATGTGATGATTATGTGGGTATTGACTATTGATGTTTTTACAACATGAGAGGATTTCGATGACTTGATTTATGAATATACAATGCCAGAGGTACAGATAAGCTGTGTATCTGCGTAAATTACGCAAATATTTATGTGAAAACTCATTTCCTATTAAGTCTATTGCGTACAAGTACACTTGAATATTTGTAAATACTCAATAAATGCGATTTTACATGCGTACACACAAAAATGTCAAATCTTTGCTTGCGTGCGTGTGGATAGATAAAACAACTGCGGTATATTGAGAGGTTCTATTTCAGGACATGAACTTGATAACTTGCAGTCTTTCTCATATTACAGATCAAATATAAATAACAAACACTAACATTTAAACTATATTATATTTTTAAAATTAATGGAAAATGGCAAAATACCCAATTGAGCCTGAGTGAGGTGAGTACAATTTATTTGGTTACTCAAAGGAAAATTAGGATACTCAGTTGAGACAAGCACAAGCAAGTACATAACTCAATGACCCAAAAAGTTATCTGTAGCTCTGCAATGCCATTTAGAAAGTGGTCAAATGTAACATATGTTGTATTTGGGATTACACTTTCTTAGTAAAGTACAGATTCTAGTTCTTTTGTTATAAGCCGTGGTGGCTGAGCGGGTTAGGCAGCTGACTTTGCGATTAGGTGCCTGACTCTGAGGGTGTGGGTTTGAATCCCGGATGGGACTTAACTCAACAAAAGTACTAGAATCTGTAATTTACTATGAAAGTGTAATCCCAAATATAACATGTTACGTTAGACCTGATGTACATTTCCTTCATCTTTGCTGGTAGAGCAGATCTAGGGACCGTTTCAAAAAGTGACCGTAGCCCTTTGACCACTGTCAGCAGGGCTGGCTATTGATCAATCAATTAAATATTCATAGTCAATAAATATTGGAGAAGTAACTTATGTTAAATAAGAATATGTAAAACAAGTCTGGAAAAAGTTGACATATTTCACGTCAGTGGTGTGGTGATGCATTTATGTGTGGATCAGTAATAAATACAGCATTTGGAACACAATTTGGACCTGGCCCATGTATAAACTTTGAGGTTTGTGTATGTAACTTATTGCTATAGTTTTTCAGGAGTTTAAGTGAGATGGTATTTATTACACAGTTTTCATATTGATTATTATTTATAATTCTTTCCATGGACATTATGTCCGATTATCAATTTCTTATATATGTGAGATTTTCTTCTATTACTTCGTTAAATTTCCTGATGCATTTGAATACTTGATTAGCCCCAATTATGAGTCTCACTCATCATGATTTAAGATTTTCACCATAGAATCTATGTCTACAACAGCCTTAGACTTCTGTTGTGAGGCTAGTCCAGAGGACCGGTGTCAACCGTTTGTCACTTGTATTCTGAGTTTGTGGCTGGACCTGCTTGATCAAACAATAGTGTGAATGTTTACGTTTTCGAATGATATTACTGGACTACTGGTCAGAGTTAAACTCAACTCACTCACTCCATCCATCCATTAATGTGTATAACTGCCAGAATTTTATTTAAAACAAAATTTTGTGTCCTAGAGATGTTCAGAGACATCCAAACAAGCATTGTTGACAGGCACAGCAAGCAATGTCTATGTTCCAGATGTGTTCGCCCAGTGGGTGAAGATTTTTCACCTGTTCAAGGTGTGTCAAATGTTTATGATGAGTGCCACTGGTGTGAAATGATGCTCTTACCGTTACGTGAACCCTTGGTGTCATAAACACATGCGCCTGATATGGTAGGAGTTGTACAATCGACTCTGCTATTAGTGGAGATTTCTAAAGGCTGTGAAAAGGGTTTGGTTGCTTCTATATAATGGCTGACATGCCCATAACATACTGGGCTTTTGGTCGTGTCCACTTGCTGTATATTTTGGTCAAGTACATATAATGAACTATGTTTACAACAAACTAAAATTAATGGGTTCTTTGAGGTTGTTTTAACTGCTGTTTACTGTGTTTTGTCACTTTTATATATTGGCCAACATACCCATAATGAGGACAGCTTCATTACAAGAGCAACCTCAAGCAACAACCATCTTCATCACCGAAGATAGATATTCTTATATGGTGACATTTCCAGGAATAATCTTCTGGTGAGAACATCTCCATTAAGTCTCCAGTGTTCCTGAATAGAGCTTCAAGGCTGACAGGTCCAGCATGAATGTAGGCATCTGGTGGCCTAGTGCCTGAAATGCTTACCAAAACTTCCATGTTTGACCACAAAGATACCAGCACTCTATAGCTGGGGGTGATGGGGTAGCCTTGTGGTGCAAGCGTTCACTCATCACGCCAAAGACCCGGGTTCGATTCCCCACATGTGTAATGTATGAAGCTCATTTCTGGTGTCCCCTGCCATGATATTGCTGGGTGTTTCAGACAAAGCTCAGCAGGTGTAGATAGGAGAAATGGTAATGGATCCTTCAGCAAGAAAACTGTCAAATCTACTTGACTGCAATAGCTTGGGCACAATATCTCAACTCCAGTGTTTTGATGTATGAGGTTGAACTGTGCTGCTCCTTTGTTTGTACTGAGTGGCATATACTACTCAAAAGAAGTTACAGACCTGGTAAAGTCTGGGGTGAATATGTCTTCATTGACCCATGCTTGGTGTAAGACGACTATTGGTATTTGGTTGGACTCAGTGATTCCGTTCATGCATGTTCAGAGATGCCAACCACTCTGATTTTGGCGGAGTTACTCTTACTTTCAAATACAAAATCTGCTCTGCGATTTCTCTTTAAAAAACTCCGATTTTCGAGAAAAAAATCAGAATTTATTTCTACAGTGTACATTTTCGTAAGTCACCGGTGATTTATTTGAGTGAACACTGGTAAAAGCATTCAGAAGCTTAGTGTGTGATCCTTTGCTTGTCGATTGTGTATATTGCGTGTTATTGACGATGAAGTTTTTCAGATTGCATGTCATAGTCTGTATGGGGGGCCGTGGGGTAGCCTAGTGGTTAAAGCGTTGGCTCAACCCGCCGAAGACCCGGGTTCGAATCCCCACATTGGTACAATATGTGAAGCCCATTTCAGGTGTCCCCCGCCATGATGTTGCTGGAATATTGCTAAAAGCGGCATAAAACCTAACTCAGTCAGTCAGTCATAGTCTGTATGAAAGTGAAACAAAATGGCAGAGCTTTCAGCCAGTCATGACTCTGTTTTCCTTAGATTCAGGGTTGGCATCTCTGCATGTTGTCATCCACTTGGTGGAGATGAGTCCTAATGTCAGTCACTGGATTGTACGGATTCAGTTATATATTGTCATTCATCAAACAAATACATAAAACAATAAAATGTTTAAAGGACACCAGATTCTTTAAAGTCACTATTGTCAACTTCTTTGATGAGCATTTTGAGAAGTTGAGGTGATGAAGAATGATGACAATTTTTATGGATATACAACTTCTTTTATTCTGTGAAAGGCAACGTTTCGACATAGATTCTAATGTCGTTCTCACATTCTAATATCACTTGCTTGAGAACGACATCTATTTTGATAATAAAAGAAGTTGTATATTCATAAAAATTGTCATCATTCTTGACTATTGTCAATATGAAAAATATGTTTTTTTGCCTTCTGTGAGGAAATATAAGTGGATCCAGAAGTGAAATATAATCCAGGTAGACATTACATTGTTCGTTTGTGAGTTTTATAGGTGATCATGGAGGCTCTGCAAGTGTGTTACAAATTTAAATAGATCGGTGAATGTTCTCAATGAAGATAATACCACAAATAAAGAAATAACTTGACACGTGGCACTGATCTGACACTGGATCCTTGTTTGTAGTCCCCGAAATGCACTCCCTTTACACCAAAACGTAGCTTTGCTTGAAGACTCTTCATGTTCTCATCACAAATATTTTTTCATAATAAATGGAGAATGTTGAATGTCAATGAATTATTCATGCTGGTAGTCACACTTACAGTAATCCTACCCAACAAGCTGTCAGTGGTTTCATTTCCAGCCAGAAAGGTTGGTGAGGTGAACGTACGAACTACAATAAACTGTGTTTATAATGAACGCGCTAATAGCGAACTGATGGATAATGAACTGGGTTTTTGCTTCTGTCCACTTGCTGTATAATTTAGTCAAAATGCATGAACTATGGTTACAGCAAACTAAATTTGTTTTATCTCTTTGAGTTTGTTTTTTGAATATAGTTTATTGTGATATTATTAGATCCACAATGTTTATGTTTCAAAGTTTGATTTTCAAATTTGATTTTAAACTTTTCATGAATTCAAAATTGTATGTTCTTATAAGTCTTGACGTTGTTATGTATAGTTTATTTTGCAAGATTTACTCTATCCTTCCTTAATTCTTGGGACGGTGGGGTAGCCTAGTGGTTAAGGTGTTCGCTAGTCACGCCGAAGACCTGAGTTTGATTCCTAACATGGGCACAATGTGTGAAGCCCATTTCTGGTGTCTACTACTTTGATATTGCTGGAATATTGCTAAAAGCGGCGTAAAACCTTACTCACTCACCCTTCAATTCTTCCTTCCTTCATTTTACTCACACTCCTTCCCTCTTCAGGACTCTTCAGCACGCCTCCAATCCTTCCTTCACTCC